GAGAAGTACTTTTTGTAGAGACATCTATCTATATAGACAAACATGGTAATACCTGTACCTTCGCTACACTCCCATTGGCTAATCAGTGTGATATGCAAATTAACTGCCAACAAAGATGGTGGCTAATTTGCATACTGCTGACGGGGCCAGCAGTGCGACGCTACCTGGGGGATCCTGGCCTTGGATCCGTGACCTGGTGAGGGAGAAAAGCGGTGGAGAAGGGAGAGAGCCCAGGTGGCAGAGAAGGGAGGGATCCGAGGGCTAAGCGGCGAAGGGAGAGAGCGAAGCAGCGGAGAAGAAAGCAAAGCCCGCCTTGGTGGGCTTCGCTCCCTTCTCTGCTTCGCTGCGGTCTCAGGAAGCCCTATTCTTGCAGGAATAGGCCCGAGGAAGCCCTATTCTTGCAGCAATCTTCCTGCAACGGGCCTCTAGCTTAATTTATAAGGAAAATCTCCATTTGTAAGGGTGTCTTTCTCTCTGTACCTGGAAGAGAAGAATGATTAAATTTCTAGGAACTGTTATCCATTGAGAAGGCAAGGACTTAAATATAACAACCATACTCTTGGTTACTGTACTTTTCCTGGTAGCCTCCAGTAACTGACTGCCTACTCTAACATCTTTTGTCTTTGCTTGGAGATGGTATATGAGGTAGTGGCTTGGGCCATTTCAGGAATTAGTCAGTTTTCCTGAATCTCTCCCATATGTACAGGAGGTATACATGTTATTAAACTTTTGTTTGTTTTTTCCTGGTAATCTGTTTGTTTTTATTACAGTCCAGAACATAGAATGGAGGAGTGAAAGCTATTTCCTCCCCCACAAAACTATCTTAAGGAATCCTCTTTAGTGTTTGAAAAGGAATAGATGGGATTAGATCACATTTTACAGAGTTAGAAGGAAATCCATGTCTGACTGTGAACAATTCTCTAATTTTAAAACTGCCAGTTAGATGGTTAGGTCATTTTGAATTGAATCTTGCTCGTTTTCTAGCTGTTAAAATGTACAAGTTTCAATAATATTCAAGCACCAAATGATTCAAAGCAATACAAGTTTGTCAAAGTAGAATTTGGGGAGAAAGCACAGTATTTTAATAAATGATTCACACCCTCAACACCTCAAAACACACGGGCCTATAAAATATTTTAATGTATTGTTTTCTGGCTTTGGATATCACATTTTTAGCATTGCCTATTTTTTTGTGCTTTTTAAGGACAGTATGTATATTGGAGATAGAGCTGTAACTATTTTTTAAAGTTTTGAAAACAGATGTGGTATTAGATTTAACCATACAAAACTGCCACTTCCCAGGTCAAAATCTTTCAAATATAGGTGATGTTTATGGTTCATCCTACTTTGGAATCTCTCTCTCTCTCTCTCTCTCTCTCTCTCTCTCTCTCACACACACACACACACACACACACACACACACACACACACAAACACACACACTTACAAAGCAATTGGACCATTTATTGGCATTGAAAAAGCATTCCTTTAAACAAGGGATGGGATACTGAGCACTGAAAATCTCACCCCATTTTATGAAATCTTAAGACCAAATTCTCCATGGTCATACACAGCTTAATCAACAACAGGAACAAGAATTTAAGTTAAATTAATTGAATCAAACTGCTCTGCTATGAGATAATAAGGGGACAGTGGGGGTGGGGTGGGTCTGGGTGCAAAGTTCTTGCTTTCACACTATAATGTTAAAGGTACAAGAATCTAACAATTCCCAGTGCAGCACAAAACTGCTTCCCATTGTTTCAAGGCAGTCATTTATCAATAGTCCAAATGCTAAGAAATTTTCATGGAAAACAGGGGCATACCCTTTGGCTGTGAGTTGAGGAGTCAAGTTCTTAAGAACCAAGGACTGGCCCATCCTGTGTGGTTCAGTGGTTGAGCCTTGACCTGTGAACCAGCAGGTCATGGTTCTATTCCTGTCAGGGCACATGACAGTTCTGGGCTCATCCCCAGTAGGGGGCGTGCAGGAGGCAGCCAATCAATGATTCTCTCTCACCATTGATGCTTCTATCTCTCTCTTCCTCTCTGAAATCAATAAAAATATATTTTAAAAAAGAAAAGAAAGAAAGAACCAAGGACTGGCGTGATCACTCTTGGG